AAAACAGGAAATGAAGGATGACTGAAACGGAAGTGATGACGCCAAATTAAATCTTTATTGGAGATAGATAAAAATGACTCGTGTGTGAGAAGGTTTGTTGGTTGCTTCAAGGTAGTAGAGTCCATCCCTTTCCTTAGCAAGTCCAATCTTCTTCCCTGAAACCTGGTCCTGAAATACACAGTAAGAAGGAAAGAACACAACTTATAGGCTTTTTAAGAATAAGGACTATAAAAATGGCATTAACTCTTGGGCTAATTAGTGAAAGAATGGTAGGATCCATCGTATGGACGCCAAAAAGGTAGTGGAATGGGTGGGCGAATTTCAAAAAAATTCCTACATTTCTTCCAACTAGGAATCATATTCCCTAAATTTGGAATACAATATTCAAGGATCCTACTTGAACCATAACCGAACCAGATCTGAACCAAAAGACAAGGGAGGGATTATACCTGATCCAAAGAAATAATATCTCCCAAAGTTGGTGTTCACGCCCAGAGAAGACACCAAAATCTACTCCTGCTAAAGATGACACAGCAATTGTGGAACGGAACCAACAGAGTGCATCCTACACACCGAATTCTTCAAAAGAATCCTCTGGAAACAATGAGCACCGAACTTGATCAATTTCTTTTGGAAAATTGATATCAAGAACTGATTTCTTCATTCCCTTCTCAGTGAAGATCGAACTATGCAGCAGGTGGTGGCGGCTGGAGGAGTTCCCTAATGCTAAATTGGCGTAGAAGCAGTTTTCAGCTTAGAGAGAATGAGATCCTATTTCTGTCTTTCAGAAGAATACCTCTGAAAACCCTAGGTTCGAATTCTAATAATTCTTGATAGGGTTTCTTCCTTTCTTGTTGATTAAGAATCCCCTAATCCTATTAGGAGTTATCCCAATTCAAATCTGTATTTGGATGGGGATAATCTTAATCCTATCTGTAGATTAGGTTATCCCAATTCAAATCTGTATTCAAATCATATTAGAATTTGGTCTCTAAGATTGGATAGGGTCAAAACCCTATCCTATCAGCTAACCCTACTCTCAGATCCGCCCCATAAGTGGGTGATCATATCAGCCCAGTTCGAAATGGGCTTTTGGCCCATTAAGTAATTAGTGCTCAATTAGTTTCTAATCTGCTGCCTAGTTGGGCGTCTTTGTATGGCGTGGAACCCAAGCATTGATCTACACACCAGTCACATGGTTTCGGCCCAGCCTTCATTACAAGGCCTAGCCGAATTCACTGGAAAGCCCAGTGAACCCCTGAGCCCATCATATGGACCCTATGGGCCCAACACTTACACTAAGTGGTCCC